GGCGGAGGCCACGTGCGGGAAGCTGCTCGCCGGCCCCTTCAGCCGCTGCCACGGCGAGGTGAGCGCGCACTCGTGCATGCGAATGCATGCGTGCATGCATGCAGGGGGGCCCGCTGCCCCTCACCGCGCCGCCCGCCGCAGGTCGACCCCAGCGGCTTCTACGCCGCCTGCTTGGACACGTTCTGCCGGGAGGCGGGCGCGGGGCCCGTGCCGCCCGCCGCCGTCTGCGACACCTTCGCGGTCTACGCGCGGGAATGCGCCCAGCGGCGAGCGCACGTCGACTGGCGGCAGCCTGGCTTCTGCGGTGCGGGTGCTGCAGCGCGCTGCCTGCTCGCTCCTGCAGCCTGCCCGCTGCGGCTTGTGTGCCGAGTGCATGTGTGTGCATGCCGACCTCCTGCATGCACACCCTGCACGCTTGTGTGTGCATGCCAACCTCTTGCATGCACACCCTGCATGTCTCTGTGTGTGCGTGCCAACCTCCTGCATGCACACCCTGCATGTCTCTGTGTGTGCGTGCCAACCTCTTGCATGCACACACTGCATGTCTGTGTGTGTGTGCCAGCCTCTTGCATGTACACCCTGCATGTCTCTGTGTGTGTGCCAACCTCCTGCATGCACACCCTCCACGCTTGTGTGTGCGTGCCAGCCTCCTGCATGTACACCCTGCATGTCTCTGTGTGTGTGCCAACCTCCTACATGCACATCCTGCACGCTTGTGTGTGCGTGCCAGCCTCTTGCATGCACACCCTGCATGTCTGTGTGTGCATGCCAGCCTCCTGCATGTACACCGTGCACACTTGTGCGTGCACCACAGCCTTGAGTGTGCACAGCCTGCATGCTGCTGCATGTACCCAGCCTCGTGAATTTGCACCTTGACCGCTTGCATGTGCTCTCCAACCTCCCGCATGCACACCCTGATCGCTTGTGCATGCACCCCAGTCTCGTGCATGCACACCCTGACTGCTTGTGCATGCACCCCAGTTTCTTGCATGCACACCCTGACTGCTTGTGCATGCACCCCAGTTTCATGCATGCACACCCTGACCACTTGTGCATGCACCCCAGTTTCATGCATGCACACCCTGACCACTTGTGCATGCACCCCAGTCTCGTGCACGCACACCCTGGGCATTCGTGCATGCATGCCAGCCTTATGCACGCACACCCTGACCAACTGCACCTTGAGTCCCACCCAAGGACCCTTCCCTCCCACCCACCCACCCTGGCCAGGCCCCCCAGCACCCCAAGGCTCTGGTCAGCGCGGGGCCCGCGGCGCTGAGCCCCGGCTCCCCGCAGAGAAGCACTGCGGCGCCGGCAAGCGCTACTCGGACTGCGTGTCGTCGTGCCCGCTGAGCTGCGCGGCCGCGGGCGCCGCCGACGAGGGGCACTGCCGCGACGGCTGCGCCGGCGGCTGCGAGTGCCCGCCGGGGCTCTACCTGGAGGGCGGCGAGTGCGTCGCCGCCGCCGCCTGCCCCTGCCGCCACCGCCGCCGGCGCTACCGGCCCGGCCAGAGCATCCGCCAGGGCTGCAACCGCTGGTGAGCGCGGCGGGACGGGCGGGCGGCGCGGGCGCGCGGTGCCACCGGCTGCCCCGCTGCCTCTCCCCGCAGCACGTGCCGGGACGGGCGCTGGCTCTGCACACAGCAGCGGTGCCCGGGCGAGTGCGCCGTGCTGGGCGGCCGCCACTACGTCACCTTCGACCGCAAGCGCTTCTCGCTGCCGGGCGCCTGCGAGTACACGCTGGTGCAGGTGCGCGGCGCGCGGGGAGGGCGGCGGGCGCCTCGGCGTGCCGGCCGCCGCTGCAGCCGCCGCTCTGCCCGTGCGCGCAGGACTTTGTGCACGGGGAGCTGCTCATCACGGCCGAGCACCAGCCCTGCGAGAGCGCGGGCGCGCCGAGCTGCCTGCGCGCCCTCTCCGTCACCGTGCGGGGCTCCGTGGCGCGGCTCCGCGGCGCAGGTGCCCGCGGGCGTCCCGGCTGCACCCTCACTGCGGTGCCGCGTCCCGCGCCGCCGCGCCCCTCATGCGCGCTGCTCCCACGCGGCAGGCGAGGTGACGGTGAATGGGGCCGCGGTGGAGCTGCCCTTCGCCGGCGCCGGCCTCACCATCCGCCGCGCCTCCTCCGCCTTCGCGCTGCTCCAGGCCGCGGGGCTGCACGTGCTCTGGGGTCCCCCCGCGGCGTACATCACCCTGCAGCCCGCCTACGCTGGCAAGGTGCGGGGCGGGCAGTGCCGCGCGGGGCGCCCACGGGGCTCCCGGCTCCCGTGGGCACCGCGCCCGCTCGCGGCTCTCCCCGCAGGTGCGCGGGCTCTGCGGCACCTACAACGGGGACCAGCGGGACGAGTTCGCCACGCCGGCGGGCGACGTGGAGGCCAGCGTCTCGGCCTTCGCCGACAAGTACCGGGCGCCGGGCGCCTGCCCCGCGCGCGGCCCCTTCGCCGCCGAGCCCTGCGGCGCCCACGCGGGACAGCGCGAGGCTGCCGAGGCCGCCTGCGCCGTGCTGCACGGCCCCGCTTTCCAGGTGCCACCACTGCTCGGTGCCACCAGGCGCCCCGGTGACGGGCATCGGGGCGGCCCCGGGCAGGGGGCAGCTGTGCCCAGTGCCGGGGGGTGACGTGCCCCCTGTGCCCCCCCGCAGCCCTGCCACGACCTGGTGGAGCGGGAGCCCTTCTACCAGCTGTGCCTGCACGAGAGCTGCGCCTGCACGGCCGGGCGCCGCTGCCTGTGCCCCGCGCTGGCCGCCTACGCGCAGCAGTGCGCCCGCGAGGGCGCCGTCCTGGCCTGGCGCAACCGGAGCCTCTGCGGTGCGCGAGCCCCGCCGGCAGCACCGTGGGGCGGGGGGGGACACGGGGTGCCGGGAGGAGCAATGGGGTGCAGGGTGGTGGCATGGGGTGGAGGTGGCACGGTGGGGTGCAAGGGGATGGGCATGAAGGGTTGCAAAGCATTGTGACAGCATAGAAGACATTGGGATGGGCAGAGGTGACAGAATAGGGTACAAGGGACAGGGTGGCACAGTGGCATGGAAGGTGATGGGACGATGTACAAGGCGAAGGGATGCGGTGCAATGGCACAGGGTGCAGAGGAGATGGACAGGGTGCAAGGTGGTGCAAGGTGGTGGCATGACGGGGTGCTAGGTGCCCCGATGGGGTGCAAGGTGCCCAATGGGGCGCAGGGCGGTGGCATGGGGGCACTCAGGGCACTGCTGTCGCCGCAGGCGTGCCGTGCAGCGGCGGGCAGGTGCACCAGGAGTGCGGCCGCCCCTGCGGCCAGACCTGCGCCGACCTGCGCCTGGACGGCGCCGGCTCCTGCCCCGACCTCGAGGGCACCTGCGTCCCCGGCTGCAACTGCCCCCCGGGGCTGGTGCTGGACGACGGCGGGCAGTGCGTCCCGCCGGCCGCCTGTCCCTGCCGGCACGGCGCCGGCACCTACGCGCCGGGCAGCACCATCCGCAGGAGCTGCAACAGCTGGTGCGTAGCCGGCGGTGCCGGAGCAGGGGGACGGGGCATCAGCCGGTGGGCTGCGTGTCACTGTGCGCACCGGGGACAACGTGGATCCCGCTGGCCACACCGGGGGTCCCATTGGTGACACTGGGGATCCCGCTGGCGACACCGCGGTGGCGGGAGACGTCTGATGAAACCCCCCTAAGGCCTGTTTGCAACGGGCACAGGATAGGAGGATTTCATCGGACGTCTCGGCCACGAGGCGCCTGCAGGAGAGCCGGCGGCGGAGGAGGAGCCCGCGCAGGATGGGACGGGATCGGGATGGGATGGGACGGGACGGGGGTGTGGGACGGGGCGCGCGCAGCGAGCTCCGCGCTCACCCGCGCTCCCGCAGCGTGTGCACGGCCGGCGCCTGGAACTGCACGGCGCAGCCCTGCCCGCCGGCCGCGCGCTGCCCCGGCCAGCTGCTCTACGCCGCGGGCTCCTGCCTGCGCACGTGCGACGGCGCCGAGCCGCGCGGCGGCTGCGCGGGGCTCTCCGACGGCTGCGTCTGCCCGCCGGGCACCGTGTTCCTGGTGAGCGCCGCGCCGCCGGCCCCGCGCACGGCTCCCCGGCACGGCGCGGCGCTCACGGTGCCGCTTGCAGGAGCAGCGCTGCGTGTCCCCGGACGAGTGTCCCTGCCAGCACGGCGGGCGGCTCTACCAGCCCAACGCCACCATCGCCAGGGACTGCAACACGTGGTGAGAGCCCGCGCCGGCCCCGGCCCCCGCGGCTGCGGCCAGCGCTCAGCCTCGTGTCCCCCCTCGCAGCGTGTGCCGCGGGCAGCGCTGGCACTGCAGCCGCCGGCAGTGCGCGGGCACCTGCGTGGCCACGGGCGACCCGCACTACGTCACCTTCGACGGCAGAGCCTTCTCCTTCCTGGGCGACTGTGAGTACGTGCTGGTGCGTGAGGCCGGCGGGCTCTTCACCGTCACCGCCGAGAACGTGCCCTGCGGCACCGCCGGCGTCACCTGCACCAAGTCGGTGGTGGTGGTGCTGGGCACCACCGTGGTGCACATGCTGCGAGGTGAGGCTGTGGACGCGGCGACGTGTCCGTCCGTCCATCCCTGCGTCCGCCGCGGGGCTGGAGGCCGGCGCTGCCCTTGCAGGGAGGGACGTGACGGTGAACGGCGTCTCGGTGCGGCCGCCCAAGGACTACAGCGGCAACGGGCTCACGCTGGAGCGTGCCGGGCTCTTCCTGGTGCTGCTGTCCCGCCTGGGGCTCGCGGTGCTCTGGGATGGAGGTGAGCGCCTGGCCCTGACAGCGGCACCGGGGGGACACGGCGGCGGTGCCGGGACCCGCGCGAGCGCCCCGTGCCGCGCCAGGCACCCGGGTGTACGTGAAGCTGGAGCCGCGGCACCGGGGCCGCGTGGCCGGGCTCTGCGGCAACTTCGACGGCGACACCGAGAACGACTTCGGCAGCCGCCAGGGCGTCGTGGAGCCCACGGCCGAGCTCTTTGGCAACTCGTGGCGCGTGAGCCCGCTGTGCCCCGAGGTGGAGGGCGACGAGGCGCAGCACCCCTGCACCGTAGGCGCGGGGCCCGGGGCGGCGCGGGGGGCTGGCGGCGCGCGGCACCGTGCCCACGGCGGCGCCCGGCCCGCAGGAGAACCCGCACCGCGCGCCCTGGGCCCGCAAGCGCTGCGGCGTGCTGGCGCAGCGCCTCTTCGCGCCCTGCCACGACGCCGTGCCCTGGCAGCGCTTCTACGAGTGGTGCCTCTTCGATGCCTGCGGGTAGGTGCCCGGGGAGCCGTCGCGCCGCGTTGGCCCCGCGGGACCCTCACCCGCCGCGGCCCCCAGGTGTGACGCCGGCGGCGACTGCGAGTGCCTGTGCACGGCCATCGCCGCCTACGCCGAGGAGTGCGGCCAGCGCGGCGTGCCCGTGCGCTGGAGGAGCCAGGAGCTCTGCCGTGAGCGAGCCGCGCGCACCGGCCCCGCGCGGCTGGGTGGGGCGGCCGGGAGAGTGGCTGCAGCAATGCACCGAGCCACTGCAGGGAGCGGCACGGGATGCAGGGCCAGCGGCCATGGGAATCGGGGCGAGTGGCCGTGGGAACCAGGGCGAATGGTCACAGGAATTGGAGCCAACAGTTGTGGGAATTGGAGGGAGCGGCCGCGGGAACTGGGGTGAACGGCTGCAGGAATGAGGGCAAGCGCCTGGAGGAACTGGGACAAGGAGACTGGGGCAAGTGGCTGTTGGCACGGAGGGGAGCAGCTGCTGGGACCGGTGGAATTGATGGAATTGGGGCTGCAGGAAGCGGGGTAAGGACTGGGGTGAGGGGCTGCAGGAACTGCAGTGAATAGCACTGGGAACCAGGGGAAGCTGCTACCTGAACTGCGGCGAGCAGCAGGAGTCGGGAGAGAGGCCGTGGGAATTCGGGATTGCGGCTGGGGGAGCTGGGAGGAGCATCGGCGGGAACGGGCGCTCTGGCGGGGCCAGTCCCGGGGGCGCCGCGGTGTCCGCAGCTCTCCCTCGCCGCCCGCAGCGCTGCAGTGCGAGCGGGGGCTGCAGTACACGTCCTGCGGGCCGCCGTGCCCCCAGACGTGCAGGACGCTGGGCCGGGAGCAGCCCGCGCGCTGCCACACGGCCACGTGCCTCGAGGGCTGCTTCTGCCCCCGCGGGCTGGTGCTGCACGGTGAGCGCGGGGGGCGCGCCGGGGCCCCCCGCATCCCCCCCGTCCTCCCAAGGCCCTGCAGCCTGCGGCTCCAGGGCAGGAGCGGGTGCCGTGGGTCTGAGGCATCCGTGTGTCCCCATGGCGCACGGCAGAGGACGGCTGCATCGACCCCTCGGCGTGTCCCTGTTACTGGGAGGGCAGCGCCTTCCCCGCCGGCACCGCGCTGCAGCGCGACTGCAGCAACTGGTGAGCGCGGCGCGACGCACCGTGTCCCGTGCATGCTGTGTGCCGCGGGGCTGACACGTCGCCGTGCCCGCGGGGCTGACGTGTCACCGTGCCCGTGGGGCTGACGTGTCACGGTGCCCACGGGGCTGACGCGTCGCCGTGCCCGCGGGGCTGACGTGTCACCGTGCCCGTGGGGCTGACGCGTCACGGTGCCCACTGGCCTGACGTGTCACCGTGCCCACGGGGCTGATGTGTCGCCGTGCTTGTGGGGCTCACACGTCACGGTGCCCACGGGGCTGACACATCGCCGTGCCCACGGGGCTGACGTGTCACCGTGCCCGTGGGGCTGACGCGTCACGGTGCCCACGGGACTGACGTGTCACGGTGCCCACGGGGCTGACGCGTCACGGTGCCCACGGGACTGACGTGTCACCATGTCCACGGGGCTGACGTGTCACCGTGCCCACGGGGCTGACGCGTCGCCGTGCTCGTGGGGCTCACACGTCACCATGCCCGCAGCACGTGCGCGGGCGGGCGCTGGCACTGCGACTCGCCCTCGGAGCCCTGCGCCGCGGAGCGCCGCTGCGGCACCGACGAGTTCACCTGCCGCTCGGACGGGCGCTGCGTGCCGGGCGCCTGGGTGTGCGACAACGAGGACGACTGCGGCGACGGCTCGGACGAGCTGTGCGCGCCGCGCTGCGCCCCGCAGCAGTACCGCTGCGCCAGCGGGCAGTGCGTGTCCTGGGGCGCCCGCTGCGACGGCGCCGACGACTGCCTCGACGGCTCCGACGAGGCCGGCTGCCCCGCGGCCGCCTGCGCGCCCGGGCGCTTCCGCTGCGCCGGCGGCCGCTGCATCGCCCCGGAGCTCGTCTGCGACGGCGAGTTGGACTGCGGCTTTGCCGACGACTCCGACGAGGCAGGCGAGTGCTCCTGGGGCTGCAGTGTGCCCGAGCGCCGCGTCCCCATCCCCGCGTCCACCGCGAGGGCACTGAGCCCGCCGCGCCCACAGGCTGCAGCCCGAGCTGCAGCGCCGGCGAGTACCGGTGCACGGTGGGGCGCTGCGTGCCCTCCCCGCAGCGCTGCGACGGGCGCGACGACTGCGGCGACGGCAGCGACGAGCGGGGCTGCGTGTGCCCCCACGGCCACTTCCAGTGCCCCGAGGCTGCCTGCCTGCCGCCGAGCGCCGTGTGCGACGGCCGGGACGACTGCAGCGACGGCGCCGACGAGGCCTTCTGCCCAGGTGGGGCTGTGCTCGGCGGGGACGGGGCGCTGCGCCGGCTGGGCGCTCTGCTGCGCCCCTGGGCGCCGCTGCAGCCGGCTCCGTCCCCGCAGGCCGGGTGAGCTGCGGCCCGGGGCAGCTGCCCTGCCCCGACGGCTCCTGCGTCAGCGGTGCTGTGCTGTGTGACGGTGTCCTGGACTGCGGGGACGGCTGGGATGAGAGCCCGGAGCGCTGCGCAGCACCCGGGCCCACTGCTGCAGCAGCCACCATGCACGGCACTGCTGCAGTGCCCGCGAATGGCACCACGGGTGAGGGGCAGTGACACGCACGTCGCCGGGACACGGGCACCCAGCAGCTCCCTGCGCATCATCTCCGCTGCCTCCCCAGCGGCGCCGTGCGGGCGCGACGAGTTCCCGTGCGCCAGCGGCGGGTGCCAGCCGCGGGGCTGGGTGTGCGATGGCGAGGCCGACTGCGCCGACGGCAGCGACGAGACGCGCTGCGGGCGCCCGTGCCCGCTGCAGCACCTGCCCTGCGCCCAGGGCGCCCAGTGCGTCCCCTACGACCACCTGTGCGACGGCGTGCCGCACTGCCGCGACGGCTCCGACGAGAGCGCCGAGCGCTGCGGTGAGCGCCCGCCGCGACGCTCGCAGCGCAGGGAGCCCCAGGGCGCAGCGGGGGCTCCCCTGACCTTGCCCTGGCGCAGGCTCCACGCACATCCCGCCGTGCCCGGGACACTTTGCGTGCAACGAGCACCTGTGCGTGAACGCGTCGCTCGTGTGCAACGGCGTCCCCGACTGTCCCCAGGGCGAGGACGAGCTGGGCTGCGGTAAGGGGCGCTCCGGGCAGGCGCTGGGGGGACGCGCTGCACGCTGGCCCGTGGCCACCCCCGACCCTCGGCAGAGAGCCACGTGGCCACGGAGCAGAGGAACCGCACGGGTGTCCCCTGTGCCGAGTACGAGTGTGGTGAGGGCAAGTGCATCACCTTGGCACAGGTACGGCTGCGGGGACGCGGGGTGCGCTGCGGGGGTCCCACTGTGTCACCCGTGGGGTGTCCTGTGTCCCCGGCTCCGTAGGTGTGCGACGGGCTGGCAGACTGCGCCGGGGGGTGGCCGCCGCGGGACGAGCGCGACTGCGGCGTCTGGGGCCCGTGGGCGCCCTGGAGCGCGTGCAGTCGCAGCTGCGGCGCGGGGCGGCAGGCGCGGGC